TTTATTGCGAAAAATATTACCTCAGCCAGTGTTTGAACCTGGACCTCCCTATGGGGCATGTTGCATGGCCTCAGTGGTCCAATTGGTGAGACGCCCGGCTAGAGTGTAGGGAGGTCCAGGTTCAAACTCTGGCTGAGGTAATATTTTTCGCGATAAATTTTCTGTATTATTAAAAATGCCAGATACGATCAAGAAAATACTGATTAGTAATTTATTAACTTCAGCTTACAGCCAAGAAGTGGACTTGGTTTACAATATGTTCTTAACTCATTCATTCTTGCATACTTATTTCCATCTCCCTATTTTCATCCTTGCATGTTGCGACTAGTATTTCTAATTGCTTTATTTACTTAGCTTACTGGTCAAGAAAATACTGAAGTTGTTAAAATATTCTTTTGCCTATAATAAATATGATTGGTGCTGTATCGATCCTATTTTATGATACCTTGAAGTGTAATAGCATTGGATCCGGACATTTTTCTATGGGTGTAAGTTTAGCTTCTGCTGGAAGTAAAGATCGTTTGCTTGTGAGAATTGTGTGACGTTTTTTTTTAAATTGACGCAAACAGGTATTTAATCTTAATTACAGCGAGTTACGTATCGTCGAATTCTTTTCGGGTACACGCACGTCTTAATTTCACGCGTATCTTCGTCATCCTCCGCGTCACGTTAACTCGCGTCGCTGTCTGAAATTTCTAAAAGTGTTTCTACAAGTCGTTACACTCGCGGTATGCCAGCGCGCCGGCAATCGGTCTTCGTCACGATGACGAAGTTCCAGATCGTCATTGAAATTCCACTTTGCCGGGCTTATCTCAATTTCTTGACGGCGCACATGTGCGCAAACAAGCCGCGCGAGCGTCAATGCGCGCCTGGATGTCTCTCAAAACGTGTAGCTTTCCTTGTTTCTCCGAGGATAACGGTTAACGTATATTGGAAAAAACGAGACGAGATGTCCACCTCGCAGCGTTCCTTTTTCCACAACTGTTTTCACGAACGACGCGCTGCACGTTCGCGCGACGAATCGACGTTAATTTAAGCGGCGGGATTAATAATGTTATTAGTTGCGCGCGTAAGCAGCGGGGCCGGAGTAGCTGCGTGAGCGCCGCGATTAATAAATATCAATGATTTCTTGTTTTCAACTCGTTCGTTTGTAACCAATACGCCGTGGACTCGATCTTTCCCATGTACGCCGATCGTAACGCGCGATTCAAAGTGTTACAACGATAATTCAGTTTATTGCCTTGACTTTACTCTCTTTCTACTCGGGGCCGCCACTCGTTATGTCGACCATAAGCTACTATCTTTCTCTCTCTTTCTCCTTCTCCTTTTTTTCCCCCCCAGGAGTGAACCTGGTAGGAACTCTATCGTTATAAAACTACGAGTAATAACACTGTAACTCATTGTCAGTGGCCGGGCAGTAATGCCAGGCGTCCCGCAGCGTCGGGTTGGTTGATGTCGCCTTCGTGGAAGCGTGCATTGTCGCACGAAGGGGAGACGCTGGTCCACAGTCTCGCTTCCCAGATTCAATTCGCGCCACTGGTACTTAGAAAAGCTGAGAGATTAAAGACTCTTGTAAAGAGTTCAAGTGGTGATACTTTGAAAAATGCAATTGAGTAAAACCCGAAGATATTATCGATTATGGATTGCGTTAATAAAGTTGGTAGTTTTTATACGAACTCAATTTCAAAATCAATTTTTGATTTTCTTAGAAAAATGTTGCGGATATATATTTGTGTATAACATCACATAAAAATACGTAATAATACGTAAAGCGTGTATAATAATAATTAAAAAAGGATATACTCGACTCTTGTTCAGTAAAAATGCTAAAAATATCGTTTTATCGCGTAACTTTATTGTGTCAAACACAAACAAGGTATTTCATATTGGCAGAGGAAAGTCCCCTGTTATGAGATAGGCTCCTAATACGAGACAGCGGGGTTTCTGCTAAATTAATAGGCATCATCCGCGTTGGTTCCACCATGAGTTTATTGCCCTTGGAGTAAAATCTGTTTAGAGGAAAATTGATTGTGAGACCGTGTAATCGTTGCGACAAAAGATTTGTGATTGAATTTGGACGTTGAAAACCTACTATCTCACATTAGAATCCTATCTCATGATAGAGGACTTTCCTCTATTATTTAATTCAGCCTACCACATGCGTAATGGTGAAATTCCAGGTTTCGGATGTCCGCGCATTCATTAATCTCACGGAAAGCCGTTTATGCGGAATACGCGGTCTTCTAATCGCTCCGCGATTATTAGTCGACAATGTCCGCGTTGTACGTAAAGGCGAATAGCCGAGGATTGTTATCCCCGCCGCGAACACGAAGAAACATAACTTGGTCGTCGTCGGGGCGATCGTTGCTTATCCGGCGGGGTCGCGTAGGTGTTAAAGCGCGCGGTTCTCGCCCACTTGAATCGATTCTGAATGGACAGCACGATCGTTTCGGCCTATCGGGTGTCCTGTTAACTGTCGCGTCGTTAAGGAGGCCGCCCGTCGAAAATTATAGTCCAATAGTACATTTTTCTACCGGCCTTTCCTAGCTCTCAAAATTCTTATGAAACGTCACGAAACTTTAATCTCGAGAGATTATTATTTGGAGATTATTAATGCGCAGTTAATTGATATCGTATCTTTGGAAAATTTTAAGACACGCAAAAAATCACGCTTATAAACATATCTTGTTTGGTTCGCCGTTAATGAAAAATATTTTACTTTATATGTATACATATATTGTATGTACGGAGCGTTAATTTTATTTCAAAGCTGTTCCCGCTAAACTCGCTAACCAAAATGAAATTAAGTACGAAGGTATATCTACAGGCGAGATTATAAATGCAGATTGGATTGTCACGTACGCGCTTGCTTATTTGTCACGTTGTACCGCGGGGGGACACGGTGTCAGTGAATAATTGCGGCTCATTTTCACGAAATTACGCGACGCGACGCAAAGTGCATTAAGGCGTTGCTTAATCAAGAGGCGTCCCGCATTATTATTTCATAACCGGGCGAATCACGGCGGGTTGTGCAATCCGCCGCCGCGCCACGCCGATGCCTTCGCGCGACACGCGCGAACGCATCAATTCCGGCATCGCGTTCAATTGCCTCGAATACAATCGATCAATAAATATTTATGAGCGGCTCGAGCATGTCTCGCGACGCGACGGATGCACGCCTGCCGATGTTTTACGTCGATGACGTCTGTTCGGGGCTACGGGCGAAGCAGATGTATGGTGTATCTCCCTGTTCGAGATACCGAACAATTGAAACTTTTTCCATCTCCCAAGGTACGAGACGCCGAGATAGCGCGACTCTAAAGTATTAAGCAAAGTATCTTATCTTCGTATGCAATCTTCGCAGTCTTCTTACTCAGAGTCTCGTGACTCGATCGTGTTATAGAGTTGCAAAATTATCTGAATCACGCCTCTAAATTCTAAAATTTTGTAACTGAAGATGTTTGAAAAAAATTCAAAATTTTCCTAATTTCGAAACTCTACGGTCTCAAGACTTGAAAATTTTGTATTTATGTATTTTAACTTGTACGTCTCGAGGCTCCCTGTTCGAGATACCGGATAATTTAAATTTTTTTCCATCTCCCAAGGTACGAGACGCCGAGATAGCGCGACTCTAAAGAATTAAGCAAAGTATCTTATCTTCGTATCCAATCTTCGCAGTCTTCTTACCCAAAGTCCCGTGACTCGATAATGTTAAAGTTGCTGAATTATCTGAATCGCGCCTCTAAATTCTAAAATTTTGTAACTGAAGAAGTTTGAAAAAAAATGCAAAATTTTCCTAATTTCGAAACTCTACGGTCTCAAGACTTGAAAATTTCGTACTTACGTAATTTTAGCTTGTACGTCTCGAGGCTTCCTGTTCGAGATACCGGGCAATTGAAATTTTTTCCATCTCCCAAAGTACGAGATGCCGAGATAGCGCGACTCTAAAGAATTAAGCAAAGTATCTTATCTTCGTATGCAATCTTCGCAGTCTTCTTACCCAGAGTCCCGTGACTCGATAATGTTCAACCATCACTTAAACTACGGCACATCCGGCGGGAATAAATTTTATAGACTGAGATAAATTGTTTAATAAGTTGCTAAATTATCTGAATCGCGCCTCTGTAATTCTAAAATTTTGTAATTGAAGATTGAAAAAATTGAAAACTTTCATAATCTCGAAACTCTACGGTCTCAAGACTTGAAAATTTCGTACTTACGTAATTTTAACTTGCACGTCCCGAGGTTCCCTAAATCACATTTATGAGTCACACGACTAAATTCGAGTCCAGTTTTGTTTGAACAATAGAGTAATTTTTCACAGGATGAATTAAAGCTCTTTTCTGGAAATATCAAAGTTGCTGTTAAAACGTTATAACATTGCGTTACATGGAAGGGACGTACTCGCCGTTGCCGGAGTTCTTACGGCGCTTATTTACGAGCACGTTACACGCAATGTTAATTCGACAGATTTGACCGTAAATAACGCCCGTGTATACCCACGCGGACCAGGATATATTTATCTCAGTCTATAAAATTTATTCCCGCCGGATGTGCCGTAGTTTAAGTGATGGTTGAAATTTATGAACGCAAGTTGAGGGAATCAACGCGCAGCGGAATTTTGAGCGCGCGTCCGTCCGACGCGCATTTTTCAAATAGTCGTTAAAGACAATTTTATCCGCGTGCGTAGACGGATGCGCTTCAAAAAGACTAAGTCGCGCGCGTATTCCGAGATGCGAAAGTTCCGAGCACGAGTCCTGAGGATTTATTCGTGCTTCTAATCTTACAATAACGTCCCGCGAGCGCGGCTCTTGGAGCGCACGGTAGGATTTGGAATCTAAGATCGATTTCTATTCGCCGATAGCATCTCTCGGAGTGACAGAGTGTCTTGGCGTTCCGTACGCGCGCGGGATGTCGGCAGATACGAATAGAGATACGTCAAATTAAATCCGATTCTCGAATGTCATAGCGATCAGTCGTGGCTCCGTCGATTGTTTCAGGAGAACGGCTGCCTGTACTCGCATATACGATGGGGCGAGGCCTTCGTCGTGGTCTACAGCGTGACATGTAAGCGGAGCTTTCAGGAAGCCCGTGGACTTCTCAAGCAACTCGCGGATCTGCGCCTGCCGTCCTATTTCACCGCCCTCCTGCTCGGCAACAAGAGAGATTTGGATCATGCACGGTAAGCGTAAATCACACATTGTTACAAATGTATGATTAACTGTACCGTACGAGGGACGGGCCGTGTATCTCACCGGTGTAACGTCCGATGACGATCCTCTGACTGATATACGACCAAATAAACCGCGCACACGCGCGTCGTAAGAACGGTAATTATTAATAAATCAATAGCGGCATAATTTTTCGCCACCTCATATCGGCGCGAGAGAAGCTCCTCGGTGCATCCCGGAGCTCGTTTATCGCGTGTACCATATATAATTATAATTAATAATCGTGCTTTCTGAGTTATAATTTATCGGTATCGCCGGGTGAAACTTGCACAGAATTCGATATTATATTACCGTAGTTACGTTTCAATCTGCTGTTGAGTAATTGTTAATAGGTTACACGATACCCGTACGTAACTGAATAAATTTCCCTCAAAATAAATAAGATGAAATGAAAAGACGACGTCTTGTGTATTCGTAAGTAATATTGTGCTTATACATGGCCCATTTTTATCCGCGGCCTCGCAAGTCTGGCACACTTCGTCGATTGTCGTCTTAAGGGGTACTCACACGGCCAATGTCTGTAATATCTCTTTGATTAATCTCTTTTCTTACGCTGAGAAACATTTACATCGGATAAACCGATTGAATGGTGTTTCCGATGGTTAATTTTTCCGATTACGTTTTCCGACTAAATTACGGACACGTTCGATGAAATTTATTCGACGAAATGCAGCTATCGATGAAATTTGATTGAGAAACCGATCATATTTTTCATCGGATGTACAATTTAATTGGATATGTCCGTTTGTTATTATGTAATTGAACTATCCGATTATATTTAACCGGATATTTTTCTCAGTGTAGATTAAGTGGCTGGGAAATACATACACGAAGACAATTTTTCTTTAATTATCCCGAAAATCATGTAACCGTGGGAAAACGTGGCATTTCGAAAGATTTTTATGATAGTTTTCAGAAATTTTACCATAATTTTACTAGTAGAATGTATGGTAAAATTTCAAAAAACTCTCAAGGTCCTCAAAACCCCATCCCACGATTACATGATTTTCAGAATAAATTTTAAGAGAAATTTCTCTCCGTATACAAATCTCTAGAATTTTAATATCGGGCTTAACAAGAGGGTTGAATATTGAGCATTGCAGGGCAAAGGGCAGTATTTTCCCGCGCAAGTGCCTTCTTCCAAAATGGCACCCTCGGCTCGATCTTGTCATGAAAATCACGATTTTTGCGCGCTTTATCTAGCGCCGAACATATCTACAGTACCGAAACTCATTGTCGAAGTTGAGATTTATCGGGGCTTACTCGATTGATACGAATCGTATGAGGGCCGCTTAAGTGGCTCGCTCGGCGCAGGAATTACAATATCATTTCGCGATCGCGCGACGCGGCTTCGTGTATCGCCCTCGGCGAATCGTCGATTATTCGATCGTTCCTCTTTTTCTTTCGACGTCGCGTTTTATGCACACGCGCGCGATGTAGGTATGTGTGCCCGGCCTCTATTAATCCTGCACTTCACTTTCCACCTGCGAGTAACAGGATCCTCGCCGGCTGTTTCCTACACGGGGTGAGATTTCGCGCCACGCGATTCGTACTTTTCTAGGCGGCTCCTCGCGGCATTTTATCAGGTTGCCCCTTCTGCGTTCGCTCACGTTGCCCACGAACCGGTTGTTTCAGTGTCTTGCAGAGGAGGAAAATGAGCCACTTTGATCTCTCATGCGTGAGAATATATTACAGTTAGTAGAATATGTGCGTTTCGAGTTGAAAGAATCGTAGGATACGAAGCAATCGATCTATCGTTTAAATTAGACCGTGTATACATGATATGAGGGAACCAGACCTTGTCGATCTTTGTCTCGATTCGACTAACAATGACGAGGGTTTCCCCTCATTAAGGGGATGCTGGTGTGAGTTTGCACTTTCGCACCTTTTGCACTTAAAACTGTCTGTTTCGTGGAAACATTTGTGTAATATACAAATCCAATTGCTTACGTGTACAGATCGAAAGCAGTTTGCTACTCCGGCAAAATTAAAGAACAATATGGCATCGCTGAAATTAAGTTTGTAAGTCTAATAAGAAATAATAGTGAACAACATACGGTACGTGTAGTATGTTGCACACTATTATTTCTTCGGGGGTCGATTTCTGGAACTTACGAAAATTACAAAAGTGAGTGAATACTAGAATATTTATAATTTCAACCTGTGAATTCGCTTACTTCTGCAATTTTCACAAGTTTTAGAGATACACAATTCATCGCCTCATCTCTCTCACGAACTCTCGCGAAAGCTTCACGCATATGACAATCATGCGACGCGCAAGAATGCGAATCGAGTTTTCCGTTGACAGCGCCCCCAATGATTCTTTTCGGAACGACTAACAATAAGTGTAAAAAATGTCGGCCCACTCTGATTAAGGCCTTCACACATTAAATTCCGTAAGGACGTAAAACGTAAGCGTAAGAAAATCAACAGGTTGGATTTGCTACTGCTTGCGTCATTGCCTTACGTTCTCGACTGTGATTGGTCGATTTCTTATGCTTACGTTTTACGTCCTTACGGAATTTTATGTGTGAAGGCCTTTACGGGAGTTCGGTCTCCTTATACAGACTCCATGGTCTAAATCTTCAATGGCTTGGTGTTATTAATTTCTGTGGTTTCTCATGTATTCTGAGCAAACTACCGGAATTGCTGGAAACTCGTCGTCACTACGTACTTGCTCGAGGAAGGGACTTTTTGCCGCACATACGCGAGTTTCTTCTTTCCGTTTCTTTCTTCGCCGGCATGGCGCGCGTTTTCGCAAAAACCAGTTCAACGAACCGAGCGTTCGATCGGCCACACGATGACGGAGTAAGTTAATCGGCCGACCGGCACGTCAACTCTGGCGAGCGACTCATCCAAGTCGGTCAAGCGACTTGGACAGGTAAACAGATCTGGCGTGGCAAAATATCGCGTGAACGGTTTCTAGACGAGCGACGAACTACATGACCACTACCGGGTGCCTCTCGAATCGGCGGCATCCGATACCGACACCGCGGTCTGCGCTAGATGCCCACGTGTCACGTTTCACGTGTTGCCGTCGGGGGATCCGGCGGTTCGACGTACAAGTATGCGGAGAAATGGATGTCGCACCGAGGAGCTTGCTGATCGTAGAAAACGGGGAAACGCGAAGACATTAAGTTGTTGTATAAATCGACTTTGTATCACGTTAGAAAGATTTTTGCGGATACAAGGCTTCTCAAGATTTAGTATCGGTAATTTAAATCTCCGGGGAGATTTTAAGAATTCGAGAATGAAAAAATGTCTACCGTAAGATTTACGAGACGTATCAGTCTTTCTTATCGCTGAATGTAATTTAGCAAACTAATCTTGCAGCTAGTTAGTGGTCATTAGCGACGCGATCGGCTTCTATAAAGCAATTTCTTCGATGCGTAACGTGACTTTTCATGTAGCAATGTGCCGAGCGAAAAGTCGTGGAAAAATATTGCTTGTTCGATAAAAGACGCGCGATGTAAACGGGCGTGGCTTGCGTGCGGTTTCTTGAGCGCCAATACATCTCGTCGCATTTTATGCAACCAATCGCTCAAAGTGCATCATCGGCGTTGCGTGATTCGGGCGAGAGAAAGCTAGGAAATACAAGTACGCGCGCCCGCCGTTTTTGCTTGTAACTTGAATAAAGAGTGGTGGCTCATTAGCCTTGCTGGATCGGCTTCTCACGTGTCCGCTGCTGGTAAAATTAACAGGACAGTGATGCGCGTGTGAATATTCGAGTTCCTCGAAACGCGCACTTCGTGAACTTATCGTGCCGAGAATTCACGGATCGATGATTTTCCTTCAAGCCGCCGAATGCGAAAGAAGCTCCCCTCGTAGGTTCGAGTCCCTTGAAATCTTAGTTTAACCCTTTGAATCATAGTAACTCACGTTACCACCTCAACTTCTTTACTTTTTGGCCATTTAATATTTAATAGTTAACGCATTTAGGTCGGATTTTGTGCATTTTTGGGTATCTTAGCAATAAAAGAACATAAAAAAGTTGAGCAGTCTTTAATATTTATTGTAAGTTTTATAAATGAGCAAATATGAAAAAACGGCAATTTTTTCGGAATTTATTACTGACCAAGTTTTTTAAGATTATTTCTTGAAAACTTTGTACAAAGGGATTTTCCGGGTTGCACATTACAAATCTGATGTCAGATTTTCAGAATTCAAAATGGCCGACCCAAAATGGCGGATGCAAAAATGTATGTTTCAAAGGGTTAATTGACTACAAATTAAATGTCATTTTTTATCTTCCCCAGAAATAAAATTTACCTTTTGCAATAGTAAAATATGAAAAGTGAAATATTTAAGATTTAATATCATGTTAACACAGAATTTTACAGAATCGTCTAAATATTAATCAAGAGTGTCGGTATAAAATTTTGTTCAAGATTAATTGGTAAGATATCTTTTGAAGAAATTTAACTTTTTTTTCCTTTCGTACGATCGATAGTCGAAGATAATTCTCGTTTTAGCTCTTTCCGTTAATGAATCGTCTTCATTATCGCTTGTCACGTCGCTCGCATCGCGGAGATCGCGCCTCGACCGTTGTAGTCGCGGAAGAAACACGTAGGTGAACAGGACCTCACTCGGTATCCCTTCTTCATCGGGCGCAGAGGAATTTCCCGCGCGATTCCCGCAGGAATGCGGATCGTCGTTAACGAAGACACGCTCCTTTTCTCGCCTTACGAGCCACCTTCTCTTCCTTACGTCGCCTTTATGGGGCTTTGCATACCGGGAGAAATCTCACCGATGATCTAGTAACGACGACGGCGCCGCAATTACATACGCTCTCGACGCTACTATGCAGGATGTCTCGAAAAAGTATACGCATCCGTGCCGGGACTCCATTCACGAAGGAATTCGAAGTCGCTCGTGCTTTATCTCCTTTAAAATAGGAGTTGTTCCAACGTGTAATTACCGATGCTGAATATGTATACATTTAAGGCTTGGCTTGGCAATTTATATTGTTTCACTCGAGAATCTGTCGATCTAAGATCTCGAAGGATTCGAGACTTGAAAAATTTGTCGTTGCAAAGATTGCAAAAGAGTGGTATTTCAAAGTGAAAGAACGGTCACGTGAATCTGATAATTTTAGAGGCGGAATCTCCCCGATGCCCTAAGGCTGTGGTCCACTTGATGCTTCGGAGCATTCTTCTCTTTTTTTCTTTATCAAAAAGAAAAAGAATGCTCCGAAGAATTTGCAGCATCAAGTGTATCGCAGCCTAAAACGCTAAATATAAACGTAAATGATAAAAAGAGGGGGGGGGGGCAAACGGATCGAGACAGGCACAATAGAATTCGACGGAGAGACTTACTCTCGACATTTCAGCCTTTCAACCTCGGAGTCACCTTTAGAACAGCCAAGGATGACGAGGCGGAGGTCGAGCGAGTTTTACAAGCCGATTATACGAGTGTGATCGAAGTTAAATAAGGTGTCGTGCATTCGCTGGGAATTTCGCGGGGAGTTAACAAAGGGGAAAGACGGCGGGGTGCCTCGATCGCCACGGGCGAATGCGAAAAATGTCACACAAATAAAATGTCACAGGCCTGACGGGTGTTGCAAGCGAGCGATTGGCCGTCGATCCGCGACGGCGATTGCGGCACTGGCGGGAAAAGAGCAATTCGATTTACGTAACTGGCATTTTGATGGCATGTAAGAGATACACGCTCTTCGTAACTGTCACGATTATCGTCGAGAAATTTAATTAAACCGGAATTATTCGAGAGATCCATCGATCCCCGGGTCATAAATTACAGCGCGCGCTTCTCCTCGCGTGTCGTATGCGGGGAAAATGATCAATTTTAAATTTATCTTATCGCCCGTGACACTACTTTACATGCGGGACTACGAAATAAAATGAAGCCTGTGTACATTATTCGTTGTAATATCTTAAAAGTTATATAGTTCAAGAATGTGAAATATGTTTACTTTAGGATGCAGTAAAATTTGTCAAATTTCAAGCAACCGAAATCTTTGGAAGCATTCATGAGAGAATTTGAAAATACTAATGATTTGATTTTTTGAAGAATAAATAATTTAAAAAGATACCGCTCGTATTATAGGTGACAAAAACAATAATGTAAATAAGGAGGCCAAGTTTAACGAGCTATTTGGTTGACTATTTTTTAATATAGATATATTTCACTATAATTACACTGTGTACAGAAACGCGTTCGCTATCCACTATCTTTAATTGTAATTATAGCGAAATATATCTATATTAAAATTGTCAACCGAATAGCTCGTTAAACTTGGCCTCCTTATTTACATTATTGCTTTTAATAAATAAGTCATAAGATTGTAGAGTCTCGTAGCGTAAGAGTTTAAAATTTGTCTAGCTCGAAGACTGCCGAAATGTTTAAAGTCCTAAATCGAGGATTTAATTTTGAAACGAAGAATTTATGGGAGAAACGCTTGAATGAAATGACTTAACTTTTTTTTAAAAATGAACAGTTCTAAGTAAATAAGTAACTTTAAGTGTTCGCGAAAATAAATTTTCAATCTCTTAAAAGATGTGCGAAGATGAAACTCGGGGAAGGATCGATCCAAGGGAACCGCTTCGCGGTCTCTCCTATCCAGTAGCCGCGCTCGTCGTCTTAATGGAGTTCATAAAGATTAGAGCGAAGCCCGCTGCAGGGCTGGTGAGACCACTCTCCCGAGAACGAGTTTTCGCCGCTTTAGATGCAGCCGGAGAGCTGTCGCATCTTTCAGTCGCGAATATTGCGCATCGATAACGCTTATCTCGAAGTATCGCGACCGACAATCCCTCGCAGCGAGGCGCGACAAAACAAACTGGCTCGGGAAGAGCTACTTCCGTTTCGATTAAAGTCCATTTCTCAAGCTCTGTTTTTTTTTATCTTTAAACTACTTTGGGATGTAAACTCCCTTTCTGTCTAAGTTTTGGACGTTGAAACTCTCGCGTGTCAATTTGAATAATTTCCGTCATTGATATCTCAAGATCTTTTGATTTGCAATTGCAGCTTCCTTTCTCCTCCGCGAATCTTCGTCGTCCTTTCACGTATCCATTGTGCACCATTTTTACGGTGTATCATCCGATTGAGCGTATTGACGCGCTCCTTGTCTCGGAATACTCATCGTAAATATTTGGTCCGTCTACTGCGAATTGAGAAAGAGCGCGGGAACGACAGAAACCAACACCCGCCGCTCGTAAACAACGGCGCGGGGGGGAATCGCCTCGCGTATAAAATATAAAAGGGAACAGGGGAGATATTAACGGCCGCGAGCGTGGCACGTCGGCTTGTGCACGATCGCGTCTAATCGCTCGCCCTCCCACGTGTGCCCTCTTCTCGACGCGCGCCCCGCGAGGATCGTGTATTCCTGCGAATTTAATTGTCTTCATAAATATCGGAGCCCCTCTGCCCCACACGCAGAGGCGCGCTCTCTGGAAATACAGGGATTTCCTCCCCTCCCCTCGCTCACCCGCCTTCGTTTCGAGCGTGTCCCGAGGATCCCGAATATTTCGGACCGCGTCTTTTTGTCCTAATTAAAATGCAGCCTACCAGGCCGGCGTGTCGATCGTCAAATTACTCGAAAGTCGATTCGAAGAATTAATGCTGTAAAAATGTGGGAAACATTGATTAAGGTAGTTGCTTCGCGATGGTAATGCTCAAAAGTTTCTTCCAGACAGGAACCAGCACTCAATTATTACAACGATATATTTTTATGCAATATTGCTCTAAAGAATACACTTACGATTAATACATAATATAAAATAGATTCGAAAGATTATAGTTTGAGACACTGTGGTCACATCTCTTACACTACACTCATGTCTACTACATCATTTTTCCCATTTTTCAATTTTAACTGTTTATATTGTTGAAACGGAACGGCCAATAATTTTGATTTTTCCCAGTTATTCGTTCTACTTTACTTTATAACATATTTGTTTCTCATACACGAATCTCACTCACCGTTAAGCTTAAAAAAAAGTGCCATAATTTGCGTTTGCAAACGCAAATATTAATATTTTAACACATAATAATATGTGTAATAATATTTTACGTGTAATAATATTTTTAACGTGTTTTACACGTAATATTTCGTGACTTTGAGACGGTCATGTTTAATTTAATTAGTCTTATTTTGCACGTATTAATGTAAAGAATGAACTCTAATAATTTGAAACAATTTTCACATAAATGATTTTACGAAATAACTACCTTAATCAGATATTTTAAAACTTTGGAAACTAATGAAACGTTAAACTTGCCAATTTCTCGCATACAAGTTTATAGAGCCTCGTTTTAAAAATTAAATAATCTCACGAATATTTCTGTAAATTCGTTCCGCCCTCTATTTTGAATAAAATTATGTCCCATGTGTTATAATAAACGCGACATAGCGTGCGTTATAGACGTACAGAAATATACAAGAGTTAACAAAGCTCTTATTAACCCTAACATCGTAAATATCCTGCGGCGCCTGGCGGCTTCATCCTGGCGAAATTCCAGTGACTCCGCTTCCTCTCATAAATGTATGGTCTTTACGGTCGCCGTTCAATCACCTCTCTCCACGCGCGTCTGGTGTTTGCCAAACTCATAGCATCCGTCGTCCGTCCGGTATGTTCCGTCGTTTCGCGAGGATTTAATTCCAGCCTTGGACGATTCCATTGACTTGGAGAGCGCCAACGTCCGCCGGCGGTATAAATCTGCGAACGCCCGCAGCATCCGGTCCGCATTTCCGCTGCTCCCGATCGATGTTTCAACACATGATTCGAGTGTTCCGCGACATAAACCACTCCCTGTGAATCATGCGAAATGACGATCCTCTTAACCAACCAGCGTGTCCCGAGTCTCGAATTATAAAGAGAGTTATAAAGCAGGGGGACCGTAAATCCTAGTGTTTTACGATTTCGAAGTTGCGAAACTACAAGCTCTTCAAATTTTCGTTATTTTCACGAAATCACGTGCCAAAGTCAGTATACGAGATGAAAATCCGCCATTTCTGGCGAAAACTTAGTTTCGAGGCTGGCAATTTTTTATTTTTAACAATAATAACATTTATATAAACCGAAATCCATTGTTAAATAGAAGTTTGGGGGATTTAAGTGTAGGACTTTTAAATATACCAAGCGAATACTTGGAGTCACAATACGCAATATTAACAGTAGGCTCCAAAGTATTTGTTCTTGACGTTTCGAATCTTGGAAGCGCGCACTCGTCAAAGGGATCGTTAAAGAGGAATCGATAAACGTTTCTGTTGCAGAGAAGTGTGCGTGGATGAGGGCCAGCAGCTGTCACTGGCGCACGGATGTCAGTTTTACGAGGTGAGCGCCGCGGAGAGTCCCGCGGGAGCGGCGTTGGCCTTCCAGGCGCTCCTGCGGGAGGCGAGGTCGGTCCAGCTTCTGCGAGCGTTGCCGATCCGCAGGAAGCTGGGCGTGCACTCGGTCTCGAGAGTCCTCGGGACAATCTTCGGCAAGAACACCACCAAGGATCGTAAGAAGAGGCCGTCGTTGAGCATATGACGCCTTCTATGCGCCCTCCTCCTCGGAGGACGAGATGAGCCAGGCAGGAGAACCGACATCGTCGTCCTCAGCAGCAACGTCTACTCCAATCGCTGACGAGGTCCGAGCCAAGGATGTAGAATTTCCCTTGTGCCTTCCTGAAAAAAGGCCGCCATCATCGGGATCAGAAGACCGTTCTCGGTCTTGCCAGCGTCCTTTCTTTCAAGAACCTTGAAGAGAAATGCATTTGCCAATCAATCTCCAAGGCAGTCAAACTCGGTCCTGAAGCATGTTAGAGGACCTAAACTCCGAGGACATAAGACTGATTTTCTGGCTTTGAGGACACGCACGGTCCAAGGAACAACACTCCCTGGAAGTCCGTCGTGCGAAATGTTTAAGGGCTCTTTTCAACATCTGGCAGCCGAAAGATCCAGACTCCGAAAAAGTTTCAGTCGTGGAGGGCGACACTTATTTTTTGAAAAGAAAACTGTTTCGTGTGCCGAAGAAGAATATTTACATGGTGTTTGCGTGTGATCGCACTTGCAGTGGCGGGAGAGAAGCGCGTCGACGATCAGAGATCGTTTGCGATACGCACGATGCAAAGGTACTTTTTTTAAATATTGCAATAATTTCACAGTGATTACAAGTGACTGGCAAGTTGTTCCTGAATGACGTAGTCTTTAGAACCGTTTATCGTGAATGATCTTACGGTTGCGAATCGCTCCGCAATCGGTTCCGCGAGTGTAACTTTTATAATTTGGGATACATACAATACTTGCATATCACTCGGTCTTTTAAGAGATTAACCCTAAACAGTGTATAGGAAACCATAAGCTGTCTTGTGTTATTTTTTTCCGTGATATTTATAAATCAAAATTTTTCCAAGAATATTCATATATAATTTTTTCACTCGTTTTTACACTATTTTCTTTTTCAGGTGTTTCTTAAGGGGATGCTGGAGTGATTCTGTACTTTGGCACCTGAAAACAATTATGTAATATACAAATTATGTAGCTTTTGTACACAAACCGAAAGTATTCCACTATTCGGACTAAATCAGAGAACCAATAAGTTATAGGTTATAGGTTAGGTAACCTATAACTTATTCGAGTGAATAGAATTCCTGTTAAGCTCCTAAACTTAATTTTAATGATACCACGCTGTTCTTTCACTTAATCTGAATAGCGGGATACTGTCGGTTCGTACCCAAAAGTCACACAATTTGTATATTACACAAATGTTTTCACGAATTGACAGTTCTAGGAGCAAAAGGTGCCAAAAGTGCAGAATCACTCCAACATCCCCATAATTATGATTTCAAAATTAAATACGTGTATTATTTCGCAAGAACTAAATGTTTTATACTGTTTAGGGTTTGTATATTGTTTTCCATTCGATACTCCCGAACGAAACCCGTGAGTCTTTCAAATTTCGATATTTCCACCAAGTGGTGGAAAGGGGGGAGGGGAGGTCGCGATTCGATTCGATTTTCTGCCTATCGTCTCAGTTGTATCCGAAAGAGATGTTTGCGAGCGCTCTCGTCGAGAGCGACTTTAACATCCTCATCACCAGGCGTGATTGATTCGATGACTTTAATGTTCCTAAAGAAAGTAGCCTAAGTGTAAATAGCGCACACGTTCACTTATACTCTGCGGAGAGTCTCAGAGACTTGAATAATCATTAAGATTTGGATACGAGAGAAAAGAATAGTGAGTGCGGATGTTTACAGTTAAAGATTATTATCTGTGATTTGTTTATTCCATCTGACGGTCAAGAATGCGTTATGATCGCCGGAAAGGAGTACGAAACAATACAGATATGAATCTCATTGAGGATCTTTCAGCCGGTCATTTTATCGCAATTTGCATTCCGATTTTTTTTGCGAGATCGGAATAAACGATAAAGGAACGGCTATTAACGGGTTAAAAAGCTATTACGATCGTTTGTGAATGGATGCCGTGTCGCGTCCGTCAGATGACGGGTTGATTATCGTGTACTCTATCGTAGAAAGTGTTGGTTGTTTGCCTTCTTGCTAAGCTCTTCAATCGCGCGCGATGTTTTGTAAGCCGTCGTTTTTTTTTCTAGCATAGAGACTACGATCGACTTTTGAGGTTCGTAGTTTGTAAACACTTTCAGAGTGCCTTCCGGACAGTGTTAAGGACCGTTATACTTTTTTGCCGGCAGCTGACGTGCTTTTTTGACGCGAGTGTTGACGAAGAAAGAGGAACGACTCTATTTACATTACGTTTAAGAAAATGGATAGTTAACGAGCGGTAAATTGCACGATCCCTCTTCAGCGCGTCAGTGTCTAAAAAAGATCGTAAGACAAGGCTTTCAAAGCCGGCTTCCCCGAGCCAGGAATGGTTCGGCGAAGCTGGCGGCTCTCTTTTTCACGATACATTCCACTTGAAATTAGCGTCCCTCTGAAATGTATGTATGCGTATGTGTGTGAGTGAGAGAGTGCGTAATTCGATTCCAGGCAGATGTCGATCACTGTATTCGAAGTGCTAGTCACTTGTTATCGAGAGAGGATAATAATAAAGGAGCGTCTTTTGTTAAACCCTGGCAAGATCAACTCCGCCGTCCTACTCCACCGCCCGTTTCCTGTCCATGTCATCAAATCATCAGTGGTCAACCATGGTGAGTCAACCCAGGAGATTTTATTCTTACAAATGCAATTATATGTTTTATGTAAAATGACATATCATGGCGGCTCTGTCTTTTTTTTAAATCTCTGAGTCAGTATTTTTTAGTATGTTTGAAATTTACTGGATGTTAAGCTAGAGATTTGAAATTAGCTTGTTACCGCATTGTTTTCCGTGAGTCAACCACGAGGCCTCGAGAGGCGTCACGGTCATAGATTTCGCGAAAAGTCGGTCTCGCGAGCGAATTTAGCGAATTTCGTTAAGCGAACTCGACCGAATAACTAGCGATTCGGGCCAAGGTTTCGGGTGCAGCACGTGCTCCGCCCGTCTCTGTCGGGTCGCGAAATACAGAAATAAAATACAGCTCCCCCCGGGGGCCCCGATGTATGCATTCCCTCGCAATGACGGCACGATCGCTCGCGCCTCGACGGAAAAATGCAAAAAGAAAAGGGGCAGCTCGTGAGCAGCGCGACAGCACAGCGGAAATCAAGGGTCGAGTATCTCGCGAGAAATAAGAATCCTAAATTTTTCGCGATAAAAATCTTATCTAAGAGAGATAAATTCTAATGACAATGTTACAAGCTAAACCACTGTAGAGCAGTAATAATTTATAACCGTAAAAGTGAAACATAATATGTGTTAATTCGCGCTTGTAATCTAATCTTTAAAAACTTTCATAAAAGTAGTCTTTACACTGAGAGACCCATTTTGTTGAATGAAACGAAATAATTTGATTGAATCATTTTGTTGACCGAACATGTAATTTGGTTGTATAAAACGAAAAATATGCTGCTGAAAAGAAGTCAAATGTTACGACTAACCAAATTTTCCAACTAAATTTTGTTGTGTCAACTGAAAGATTTGTTAGCTCATATCCAAACAAGAAATTCAGTTGAGTCAACTAAATTGAGAAAAATAGGAAAGTATAAGAAAATTAGGAAAGGAGGAAAAGAGTACATCTTTAAGAAAATAATCGTAACAATGAAATATAAAATACCTGAGAATTCAATCAATTTTAATTAACGATATTTTAAGAATTCCGCAAAAGTTTTTTTCTTACGAAGTTTTATCAATATGTTACAAAAGACATCAGAAATAATCAAAGTGAACTTTGATGTAATTCGGAAAGAAAAAAAACAGAGTCTCGCTTTTCCTCTCCATACGATAGTAAAGCGTATCACACAATAGGAAAGCTTAGGCAATAGGAATAAGGAATAGAAACCTATGTAATGCCAAGACACATTGATTCGCTGGCAATAAGAGTTTTGTCCAATCATCTGCTTTTTGAAACCACGTGCCTGTCCTAGTCTCAACTGTGATTGGTCAGGTAGGTCGGGTACAGGTAATAGGGAACAGAAATCCAACGCGTCGGAAATTCTGTTCCTATTACCAATTCCATATTCCATTGTGCGTCGATACACGGTTTCTGGTAAGTTGGAATTTAATTATTTCTGTTGCCTGTGTTATTCCCTATTCCTATTGCCTGTGCTTTTCTACTGCGTGATAGGCTTCACGTCTCCAAATAGTTTTATATGAAACTTTAGAGACGCACGCTCGATTTCGTTCACCATATCTGTCCGGTATCCGAAAGGGATCTACACCGACCTTTGAACCGTCCGTATATCATAAGCGAGAGGACCACGCGGGACCTTTTCGCGCACGCCGGCGTGAAGCGACATTACGAGGTGATAAGCAGGTACAAGGATTGAAAACCTGGTCGGGTTTAAGATTTCCGAGTCGCGAGTCATCTAAGTCTAAGCGCTAGAGAATTCCCTGTAGGCCGCGCGCCTCTCATATTACCTTGCGTCCTTTACATCCGTTTCTCCCTCCCCCCCCGGAGCTCCCGCCGCCAACTCCCCTCGTCTAGGATCCTCTTGCCGTCTTCCTCGAAGACAAACGATCCGGCTGTACAGGTAAAACGATGCTCCGATGCCGTCGATTTATCGCCACGACGGTGTCGCGACGCGTGGGGACCGTGTCGCTCGAGGACTATATTGGTTCGCCCCGAGCCCGGATAATTCCAATTTGCGTATTTCACCTGGGAAATCGAAACCTCTCTCGCACCGAGCCCGGGAACTCTCTCCCGGTGCAACGAGTCGAGACCAAACCGATCCTCTTACGTTTAAGAAGCTAAGTGAGACATCGCAGTTTTGCTATTGTATTCAATTCTCGTTCTTTACATTCCAGATTCTAGATAAATGTACCCCGTAACGATTTGTATAATATTACATGACCTCTTTTGAGGACTTTGGTAGGAAAAAGGCGAACTTTATAATTGGCCATTCTATGCGACTCTGGCCCCGAGACTTTTCCGTGTTTTAATCTTGCGTTGATAATTCGACTTGGCGACCTTTGCGTTCTGCAAGTACCGAGCCATCGAAATTTTTTGTACTTACTGCATTGTTTTCCCTCTTCCCGCTAATTACCGTTGCGATATTAATCGGGACTTTCACCGATCTTGCATTGGTCCCACGGATCAGTTTCCAGAGTTCTTTAATCCGAAAAATAGAGTATCGAAATTTCTACATCTCGATCAATTTTTCAGCAACTCTTAGGCGATACTGCGTTGATAGTAATAAGATCAGAGCGCGTTAAGAAAGCACCAAATTAAAACCTGGATTAGAATTCCGTTGCTCGTGCACCGTGTCAGCCGAGTGGGTGGCGTTATTGCTCGCTAACGAGCGTAATTTAATCCGGCGCGGCGCGCGATATCGCCGATAATGATATCCCGGATTTATCTCGCGGCCGTGCCGGGGAACCGCCTGCCGGTAGCGAGCCGACTCTCGAAAAATCGGCGGGTCGTGCGCGAGCACGGCTTTTCATCGCCTTAATCAGCCCGCCTCGCTCGCTTTCGTCCCAGTTCGCCCGGCTCCCACTTAATTAATGACGCCATTGGCGACAATTAGAAATTCAGATTCATCCGAGCGCACGCTCGCTAGCGCACCCGCCGGGGCCGACAATGGCCACCTGCCGATCGCGATCCCAGAGGCCGGCTTTCGACAGGGAGCGATAACAGGGAGCGGGCTCCGAGATCGAGGAACACGTTGGAGGGAGGGACTGCGGGGCGCAGGGGGTAGAGGAGAATCGGCAGGAAAGAGAAACAGGAGAGAGAATCGCGACTCGCTATCGGCAAAAGGCGAAAGCGACGGTTTCCACCGGCGGTGTTATCCGACTCGCAACGGTGAAAACGATGCTTAGCCGTCGCGTTGCACTCGGGGGGGAATCGCCCCCCACCCTCCTCTCCCCGTCGTGTCGTCGGGA